TCAGGCACAATCCTTCCCGTTAGGGGTTTAGTATCATACCATCATAACATATATGAGAAGAACATAACCCGTGTCATGCCAACAACTGGTTTTTAAATAAATGTGTTTAGTGCCGATGCAAAGACCCTATAAGTGAATCAATATTAACGCCAAAATATGCAATCTTTAATGACCTGACAACAGTATCGTAACTATATCCCTTCTTAATAAGTCTGTTTAAAGGTTTTGTTAGCTTCAGAGGTGAATACTGACATTTTTGTGCTTTATAAAGAATATTTCCATAAAAAATTGGATGTGAAATACCTGAACGTATAAGAAGTCTGCATGTTGAGCTATATTTACGAATGATGTCCTTATACCGATGATAAAATTTAGTAAATGTTTTGACTAGTTTGTGATATCGAAAACCCTGGTGTAATAATTTTTCAGTAATACATAAATTTCTCTCGTTAAAATCTAAAACATTGTTACATACACGAGCGAATCGTACAAGTTGAGATATATAAACACCGTAAGATGGTGACAAGGGAACGTCACCATCTAAAAAAGGATAATTAACGAAAGGAAATGAAAAATCATCTCTTTTATCATATATTTTAGTATTAAGCTTTCCATTAGTGATATAGATATCAAGATCGAGGAAAGGGCAGTGGTCATTGTTAGTATTAGCTTTATTCAAAGTAAGTTCAAAAGGATAAATTTCTTTAGTATACATACTGAAGTCGTCATTATTGAGAGCCAAAATATCATCCAAATATCTAAAAGTATTATTAAATTTGTGTATCAGATGTTGTTTCGATGGGTCTTTGCTGATTTTTGTCATAAATTGTAACTCATAGCAATACAAAAATATATATTACCGGACATGTATCATCTTTCACACTTTTAACTGCCATCGGATTACATGTAAGTTGTAAATTATTAAAATCTATAATCTATTTGGGTATTTGAAATAAAAAAACATTTAAAACAAGAAATATTCAATTTAAAACGACAATCATGATATTAATTAATGTTCATGTAAAACACTTTTTGAATTGTTGTAAAAGTTCCTAACGTCACTTTTCTTCCGGTATTATATATACGGTATATTAACTTAAACATGTTTAATATCTTTTAAGACCACAAAATAAATACAGATTTTGAAATATGAAAAAAAACTTCGTCGACCACATCCGTTATGTTCTGGAACTCATTCATCATTTGTTCTTCATGTGATCATCATTTTATATTGTTTATGTTTCATTGCGTACATCACTTTTTATGCTCCAGTTTAAGGAGTTTTATACAGGACAGTGTAGGAACCCAGGTTACTTTCCCCACTCTTCTGAGTGACGAAAAGTGCTCAGCAGGCCGTGTGCACAACTGCAAGGAACATTCAGCGGACACGTTGTCCAAAGGAACAATTCGTGGCTAACCATAGCGTGAGTTACCTTTAAAACATTACAAATTATGTCTTTACATCAGCGATGAACTGTTTTAATATGTTTTCCTATGTTATAAAGAAACTATGAACATTTAACCTTTCAAACTGTTCGTATCTGCGATTACACAATTTAATTCAGAAAGAACCCGACGTGTGCAAGAATATTCATCTATTTATTATTATAAAGAACATTAACAGCTTTATATATCTACGAACTGTTTATCCGTATTTTAATGAACTTTAATTATCATTGAACACATTGTAAAATTGTATTTATATTTGTATTTTCAGTTTTTCACCATTTGGATTGGTAGTGAAATAAAAGTCAACTCCTGATTGTTTAATCTTTACATAAACCCAGTCATCTTGGTTAAACTCGCTGGTCCGGCCAGTACAATGAAAAAGCTACAACTTGCTTGTTGTTTTTCTTGGATAACGTACGCCACTCCACGACAGTCAGCAGACCCATAACGTAGTTTCAACGACAACGTTTCGTGCTAGTAAATTGACGACAACCTGTCTTTACATATCCAGACAAGGAACGACTACGTAGCAACGTGAATACCTTTACACTGACAGTGGACTACATAACTTGTGTGTACTAGGCAGCAACCCAACAACGTTGAGTCACCATGGATCCCAGTCATGTGGAACAGCAAGTAGAGGTTCAGCCCCAAGAGGGAGATGTCCCTGAACTATTAGAAAATCCGTCTTATACAACACATTCAGATGAAAATCCCGAGACTAGGCGAGTACGTGACCTCACGGAAAAAGGAAAAAAAGATTTCACAGAAGAACGTGACAAGTTCTGTAAGGAACAAGAGGCTCTCTGAACAGACATTGAATCCCAGTTATTGGAAGTCACCACGCCTCCTAACGAGCTCCAGCAACTCCTAACAGCCCAGGACAAACTTGTTAAAGCCTGTAATATTTATCGTAGGCTCACAGATGAATTCCTGGACTTTCTGAAAAGGACCAGAACATCGGAGAGTCAAAAAGAAATAGAAGCATGTAATCTCTCATTGGATTTTCGTCTGTCCAAAGTGGAACTGGTTGTGGAAAAACTACACGAGCATCGCCTCGCCCTAACAAAGGCCAAATCCACTAAAACAAAGACCTCAAAGGGTAAGAAAACCTCACACAGCAGTAGCTCTAACGTGTCAGACATGTCAAGCCTAGCACGGAGAAAGCGTGCCAAGGCAGAGGCTGCCAAGTCTAAAATAGCCTTTGTCGAAAAACATGCCCTTATCCTACAACAGGAGGCAATGTTAGAAAAACAAGCCCTGTTCAGACAAATTGAAATGAACAGGAAGCAGCACGCAAAAAGGCAGAAATGGAGCAAGAAGTCGCTCAACGTAAAGTTCAACTAGAACAGGAGGCCGCACAGAGAACAGTTCAGCTAGAACAGGAGGCCGCTCACAGAAAAGTGCAATTAGAACAAGAGGCCATGCGCAGGAAGGCTCAAATGCAACAAGAAGCCGCACGAGTAAGCCGGGAAAAGGCTGAGCTGAAAGCCAAATTTAACCTTCTTGAAGCACAGAGAGAAGCTGCAGCCGAAGAAGCCGAGGCTCGTATCCTGGAATACGACGACAGCCAAGCATTTAGCGATCTCCCTGAGGAAACTGAAGACCCTCTCCAACGTGTGCAAGATTTCGTCAATAAGCATCATGTACCAACTGCTGTAAGGAAAGAAACAGGACCTCAAAAGATAAAACAAATTCCTGTTAAGATTGAGCTGAGTCATGAAGCACCAGCGTCCGTGCCATCTATGGCATTGAACTTGCCATCACAAACACCTGAGGTCTTGCCTACACATGCTAAGTCACCAGAAGTTAATGTATTCCCAGATCTGGGAACAATAACTGGCATAGATAAACAAGGCATTATTGAAGAGATCCCTGTCTTACAACAAAAACAAGGCGTTATAGAAGAGATCCCTGTTTCACACCAAAAACAAGGCGTACTAGAAGAGAACCCTGTTGCATACCAGCAACAAATCAATCCTACGTCGGAGATAACCAGATTTCTCCTACGCAAGGACCTGTTCTCCCGGCTAACAAGCTTTAACGACCGGGCAGAATCCTTCCATACATGGAAAGCCAGCTTTAAAAACGTCATAGACGAATTACAAGTTTCGGACTCGGAACAGATAGACCTACTTATTAAATGGCTTGGACCAGAATCTGCCAAACATGCCATGAGTATAAGGGCATCAAATGCCAACAACCAAACAAGAGGCCTACAGAGACTATGGGAGAGACTTGACGACCGATATGGTGCTCCAGAAATGTTGGAGGCGTCTCTCGTTAACAAACTTGTCAACTTCCAAACACTGACGAATAAGGACAACTCACTCCTTTACGATTTGTCAGATATTATCTCAGAAATAGAATATCACAAGGAAAATCCCAAGCTGGGACGTTTGCTTGCGTATTTCGACTCTTCATCCGGGATAAATCCTATAGTGGAAAAACTGCCATACGGACTCCAAGAAAAGTGGATAACAAGGTCTTCAAGATACAAGTCTAAATATGAAGTTGCATTTCCACCTTTCACAGAATTCTCTGCCTTTTTCAGGGAAATTAGCAAAATAAAGAACGATCCTGGGTTCATTTTTGGGTCAAGAGTCACACCAAGTACAAAAGGTGCTGCGCGAAAGTTCACACCTCAAACATATTCTAAAGTCAATGTTCATAAGACAGCAGTTGAACAGCAACCTGGAGACAGCAGTGAACAACAAAGTCTTTGCATTTTGCATAATACAAGCATAAATAAACGAATGCCGAGCGTTCCGTGCCAAATCAATCGAGGAACGCAAGGAACTGTTGAGGCAAAACAATCTTTGTAACAAATGCTGTGATTCGACTATGGACAGAAGTCGTGATTGCAAGGCAAGTATCAGTTGCAATGAATGCGGAAGTAAACAACACACCACCGCATTACACACAAATTGAGTATACCAACCCAAAGGTGCACCGCCTTCACCGCCTAGACTAGTCGACCGCGGGGAGCTAATTGATACAGCCTACGGCGGGGAGAACTTGAGTTAGCTGAAACCAAGCTACCCTCTGTTAGTTCAACTTGCACAGATATCTGCAAAGATGGCAACAGTAGTAAATCTTGTGCCAAGATACTTCCTGTGAATGTCTTTCACAAAAATAATCAGGACAAAGTAATTCGCATGTATGCAATTATTGACGACCAAAGCAACCGGTCTCTCGCCGCTCCTGAATTCTTCAGCCTATTCAACGTACAGGAAGAAACAAAAGACTATATGTTATCCACATGCCCCGGCAGCAAGGTTACTTCCGGTAAACGAGGAAACGGCTTTGTCGTAAAGTCTGTACAAGACAATACTAGATTCAATCTGCCTGAACTGATTGAATGCGATAACATATCCAATAATCGGAACGAAATTGCTACACCTGAGGATATATTGCAATATCAACACTACAAGAACTACAAAAAAATATTCTCCCGATTGATGGAAAATGCAAAATACTATTGCTCATTGGAAGAGACCTAATAGAGGCACATCACGTCCTTGATCATCGTCAGATTTGAAGAAGCCGAAAAGTTCATTTCGGAAGCAACACCACCAAAAGTGAATGCCGACAAAGAAAAGTACATCCGAAAACATTTAATTCACAAGGAAAGCTTCAATTCGCCTTTGGATACGCAAGGACAAGAGGAAAGTAGAATAGACAATTCCGACTTAAGTCACAGAGAAAAGGAACATGGCACCGGATGGTCTACTGTATGCCATAAACGTAAAGGAAAGCGTCCGTTTCGCAAGACGTCCCCGTTGGATCGCATATCTGTGTCGAAAGGAGATTCTTCCATCAGAACTACAGCCATGGAATTGGATCTTAGATCGCCGCGATCTCGTCGGAAACACCACCTTATCTAGGAAAGAAGCTGTGAAATACCAAGCCTCCCGCTGGATTACTTCCAAGTTCATATAAGTGGAACTTTGGACGGCTGTTATATATTTAACATTTTATTTGTTTTAATAATGGAATAGTGATGTCAGATAGACCTCAGACGGGGAGTGTTCTGTAACTCATTCATCATTTGTTCTTCATGTGATCATCATTTTATATTGTTTATGTTTCATTGCGTACATCACTTTATATGCTCCAGTTTTAGGAGTTTTATACAGGACAGTGTAGGAACCCATGTTACTTTCCCCTCTCTTCTGAGTGACGAAAACTGCTCAGCAGGCCGTGTGCACAACTGCAAGGAACATTCAGCGGACACGTTGTCCAAAGGAACAATTCGTGGCTAACCACAGCGTGAGTTACCTTTAAAACATTACAAATTATGTCTTTACATCAGCGATGAACTGTTTTAATATGTTTTCCTATGTTATAAAGAAACTATGAACATTTAACCTTTCAAACTGTTCGTATCTGCGATTACACAATTTAATTCAGACAGAACCCGACATGTGTAAGAATATTCATCTATTTATTATTATAAAGAACATTAACAGCTTTATATATCTACGAACTGTTTATCCGTATTTTAATGGACTTTAATTATCATTGAACACATTGTAAAATTGTATTTATATTTGTATTTTCAGTTTTTCACCATTTGGATTGGTAGTGAAATAAAAGACAGCTCCTGATTGTTTTATCTTTACATAAACCCAGTCATCTTGGTTAAACTCGCTGGTCCGGCCAGTACACGTTATCATTATATTAATTTTAACGATAGTGATAATTTCATTCAAGAATGTCATTGCAAACATGCACATATTCAACTGAGAGGAGTTAGTTCCAGTAAAGGTAGGTGAATATAGCCTTAGAAAGTTAAGCTTGTCAAATGATAAGGGTTTATTTTATATAACCAATTTTCAATAAGGCTCTCTACGTGCAGATGTTTTAAAATGAATTCTGAGTCATAATCGTTCTATAAATAAGGATTATGTTTTATTCAAGTCATGATGTTTAACCACCTCAAAGGATGGCACAGAAGCTTGAAGAAGATGATATAAGTACCACACCCAAACATACGCGCTAATGAACTACCTTAAAGAAGAACAGACAGCAAAAAATTGTCCTCCTCAAGTACCATGCCAGGGGAGTACGACCAACAAAGAGAAAAAAATACACACAACTCAATCAACATCTACAAGAACCCAAAGATCGTCTTCAGAATGGTGAAGTTAATGTGTTTCAGTAAGCTAACATTGCCTCCTCTTATTTCTTACATTTGGACTACATTTGTTACAATTATATGGTCTGTTGTGATGTTTATGTTTATATTATGTATTATGTGTGCTTTATTGTTGTACTTATGTATTATCTGTGATTTATTGTTGTACTTATGTATTAAGTGTGATTTATTGTTGTAATTATGTATTAAGTGTGCTTTATTGTTGTATTTATGTATTATGTGTGCTTTATTGTTGTACTTATGTTTTATTTGTGCTTTATTGTTGTACCTTCTGCATTGTGTGTGCTTTATAGTAGCTGCTCTTCGTGTCAAATATGTCCTTTAATGAATTAATCTGTTTATTGTGTGTGATTTATTGTACTAAGATGTTTATAATTTGTGCTTTGTTGTAACTCTTTAGTACACATTTATGTAGAATTGAGTAGTGCCTTGAAATGTGCTGTTTCATGACTTGAGATTATATTCTATGTTTGAATATACTTAAATTGTACCTAATATGTGCAAAATAAAAAATGTGAATATTATTATTTGTTCATGTTTATTTCATATTTTATAAGTTACATTGAAAAGTTACCTGTAATTACCTGCTCCACACGATAAAAACAAATTAATCACTACCACAAAATTTCATTATTATTTTACCTGTAATTTTAAAAAGTGGGACAGTCGGGAAGACACCGATTCAGCTAGGAGAATTGGCATTTGGGTCAACCCCGTCCCCTCACCCAGCAAACACACAACATTTTAAAAACATTTTTAAAATGTCATATGGACGTCTCTCACAAAATATTTCTATAAGATATCATTTAAACATAAAAAAAATGTTTATTTTATTGTTTTTGAAATGTTTTATTTCTAACATTTAAGTAAAATGTTTTTACAACATTAACAAAATATTATTTGCTAATATCTTTTATTCATGTTCTCAAACATTGTTATAAAATATCCCGTAGATATTTTATAATATAAAAAAATAATATTTTCTTCAATTGGTATTTTATATTTTAACAACATTTAAAGTAAACAATTTCCAAATATCCAAAAAACATTCTGCAAAAAAATGTTTTACAGAAAATATAGTTTTGCTATTTGCATAAAATGTTTTATAACGTAAATTTAAAATGTTTTACATAAAACATCTGAAAAATATCAGCTAAATGTTTTCTATAAAATATTCTGACACACACATTACTTAATAGTCTTACTGATATTTTATTCAACATTTTACGGATATAAAAATAACATTTTATTTAAACTTTATTCAAAACCCCACAAACAACGTTTTGTGGAATTAGCTCGTTTTTTTTCAGGATAAGATATAGTACTACATTTCATCAATATCATGACAAGCAAGATACTATGGTTGAAATCCTTAATTGATATCTTCAAGATCCTTGAAGTCAGATTTTATTCCTTCTTATATTAAAATTCAAAAGAGTCAACATTAAATTAAGCAATAATGTATTAATAAACAATCACCTTTCTTTAATGTTTATTCATTTCGTTCGTGTATATTTCAGAAATTAAGAAATGAAAACTGTAACTGTACTAAGTTCAATTTTCGTATCGTTTATATGCCTTACGGAAAACCGACCTTTTCCGGAATCGACTTTTGTTTTATCACCGGAAATGATTTTGAAATTTGAATTTCGAAACGAAGACAGGATATCAACAAAGAGAGTCAAGAAAATTGTTTGTTACGCGATATATACTCACTTGGTAAGAATGATTAATCTGTTAAGATGAAACTTGTGCATTCATTGTGTGTGTTCAATCATAATCGGATTCAAATTACATCTGTTTCTGGAGGTGCGGATCAAGGTTTTGAAAAAAGGGGGGCCCCAGCCCAAGGCAAGCAAACGTTTGGAGTGATACTTGTAAATAGTCTATACATTTATCTTATAAGTAGCTCCATAAGGGGGTCGGGGCCCCTAAATCCGCCACTGTTCAAGCATCTACGTACAACAATTATGAATTTGTTCATTAATATAAAAAAATTATAAGGATATGTGGCTTGTGTGTTTGATTGCCAATACACCTTATCGCTATTTGTCCACCATTACTGGCCATGGACATCACAAAAGTTCCGGGCTCCCGTAAAATGTTGACGTCGTCATAAAAAATATCTGATGCCACAATGGAAAAGTGATTGTTGTTTGACGTCAAAAGTTCAAGCAGGATAGTTTCTCGGGTCAAGCGGGAATAGCGATAAGGTGTATTATTGTATGACGTATGCTGACATAAAAAGTTCAAGCAGGACAGATTTCCAAATACTGAAATAGCGATAAGGTGTACATGGTGTATGAGACAGCTATCCACCAGAATTTAAATGACTTGGATAAAAGAAATTATATAGGTCACTGTACGGCTTTCAAAACTGAGAAAACCTATGCCATATAGTCCACTTTGAAGCCTTGACAAACAAATGTAAAATTTTTCTCAACACAATTGAAACAAAACAACTAACTGCCTACATTAAATACACATTATGAAAAAGAAATTTGACAGACTTCAACAACAACTATTGCAATAAGCATGACTCAATACCTTGTTTCCGAGGCACACAAACAAGTTACAATAACACTAATATAAGCACCATTTGAGCTTGGAGATTTTTTTTTATAGTAAAATCAGTGTATGTATGTATTTGCAAAGCAGTAAATTAAATTTCCCTTAACAGCTTAATGAACATTACAAAGACTATGTAAGACTTCAGTACAAGCAAGATAATATAAACTGTTGCTTAAAATTATATTTATTGCTTCATACACACAATGTACATACAATGTATCTTTATTTTTTAACAGGAGCTAAAAGAAAAGCCACAAAGGACAAGTTCAATATGTAGGTTTACAATTTGGAAGTGGCGCAGGTTCTTTGGAATGTCTACAACCTTTCAGGAGAATTTTTTTTTGAAGTAAGATTTTCATACAGAATTACTGTTATTCCATATTTAATTCAAATATTTAGCATAAACAATGCATTACATTCAAGATTAAGGGCATACAATACAAAAAAGATATCTGGATATTTGAAAAAAATATTTTTTTTGTGACAAAATAGAAACAAGTTGTTTATCTAAATCAATCTTTTAGTCCGACAGTGTGCTCTCATAAACTACATATTTGCTTTCCTTTGAAGTATTTCAAATACATATAAACAACTCATTTAAAGACATCTGTTTGGTTCTCGGAAGTTAAGTTATATTATTATCATCATTGCGAAAACAATGCGTAACACTTCGATAAGTTATTATGTGCCTATAGTATACTTCTAGGACTGTATCATATGCCCTTAGATACAAATGACAAGTTATAAACTATGTCACTCTACAGAGTTTAACACTTAAAAAGGACAATAAGATGTTTAATGACATTATGTAGCAGGGCTTAAAAAGGCCCATACATGATACAATGCATTTAGTGAAAACTAAAAAAAAAACAAGAAAAACAACAGCCTGATTTATACAAAACAATAAAAGAAAAAAAATATGATAGACAACAATCAACCAGTATAATGAAATAAGACTCTTGACTGGACACATATCTAGTCTAAAGTTTTTTATTTGTTTTTTTTTTTTAATAACTAAATGAAGTTCAGCGTGGCATATTGCTCTCTCTTAACACGGTCAGCCATTTATCGTCCCCTTCCGACAGACTATCATCGTTATTTGTTTCAAAACTTTAAAGGGGAGGGGATGTATATCCTTCAGGCAACGTGAATCGTTCTATAATAAAAGAATGTGCAAGAAGTTTATATATGAATGTAAGATTAATTTTTTTTTCAGAAGCATGGCACAGCAAGAAAAAGATATAAGACACTACAAGACATTCCAAGTGATTTTGAATAAGACAATTGATTGACTTTTTCAATGTATTCTTAAATAAATCAAATAGTTGATGTAAAATGGTGTTTTGTTCTCATCTCTTCAGCCAATTATCAATGATTATTGACTTAAGATGTAACCCTATTAGAAGTGTAGTGTTTTAGTTTAGAAAGAGAAGTTGTAGTGAAAAATCTGAATTTGGGACACAAGTTTTAGTCAATGTAACTTGGAACTTAAAAATGTGTATAATGTTTGCATAATGTCCAATGGCATATATGTCATGCATGTTCAGGTTGACATTACCATATATGCATGATGTGTATAAGATAGGTAATAAAAGTTGAGAGTGAAAAACTAAACATTATACCATTGTGGTTGGAATGTGGGCTTTCTTGCACTGTCTGTCGTCTGTCCACCTATATTTGTCGGATTATGTCCAACAAATATTTTCATCACTGTTTTTCCTAAAACTGCTGATAAAGATGAGTTCATATTTAATGAGCTGCTTGATAGTGATGAACTGTGATGTGTGAACATTTTTGTATCTGGCACCTGTTTCCTGTTTGCCTATACATTGTATTTCAAAATGTTGAATGTTCTCAAATTTTTCATTACTTTAATTAGTAATGCTGATGAACAGAATGACTTCATATTTGGTAAGTGGCTTGACCATGATGAGTTGTGTCTGCCATTTTGGATGTGTCAAAATTTGTAGATACTTCTTGTTTTTAGAGACTTTGAATTGAATTTCATATGCTTAGCAAAACAACTGATGTATTCTTGTTTGTATATAGAATTAATCACTGTGTATAAATTAATTTAACTAATGATTTGTTATTTAAAAAGCAGGAAACTCAATCAAAAGTACAGAAATTTGTATATTGATATGATCTAGATATCAACCAAAAACATCTTCTTAAAAAATTTTGAAAACGTTTTTTAGGCACAGTCTCACTTGCAAGAAAACGTTTTTATAACATTATTTGATGTTCATGATGTTTTTCAAACGTTCAGAAAATATTTCTAGAAAATATTTTTTAAAAGATTAGCAAAATGTTTTATACGCCATTGTTTTTCACATTATCATGATATTTCTTTACAACATTTTAATGATATTATGCAAATATTTTAGAAAATATATTAGAAAACGTTTTAGCGATATATATTCTACCATATATTTAATGTTTTTCTCACGTTTTTTTGTGATATTTTCATGACATTAGACACAATATTTTTAAAAACATTTTAAAGATGTTTTTGTGTTTGCTGGGTCAGGGCGACCTATATTTGCGCGAATTTGAATATCGGGGACAGGTATTACGTTAACATTAAATTTACATGAGTTTTTATCTGTTTTTTTTTTTATCGTGAGAATAACCTCAACGTGTTGCAAATTAATTATACTGATGAATAATATGTATGTCCAAAGTCTTTTTTCGTTTATATCAACATCGAAAAGCAATACATGTATGTCAAAGCAAAGTTTTGAATCAAATATAGTGTGTATTTCCTGGAAGGGAACATTCTAAGTAAATCAACCATATTCTGGAATAAAACACAGCCATGTAATTTCGACAGGAATAATCTACAAGTCAGTCCTTGCTGTGAAAAGACTCTGGTTCACTGTCGGTATGGTTTTTCTCTTTGCTTGCATTTGGAACAGTCGTCACTATTCTTTGCGGAATTATATTTAGACTCAGCGGTAATGTAATGTTCAACTAGAAGTTGGCAAATAGTTTGCGTATTTCATTTTCAGAAGCATCTGAAATCATATCATCTACAAAACTGTCCCCAACTTTCTCTGCTGGAAGAACTGGCCATCACAAATCCTTGCCGTATTTAAATCACATATCTATTTCAGTTAACGAATTTTGAATTCTTTTTTATTAGAAAAATTAATAAAATCACTTAAACGTAGTAACTTTTCAACAGGTAAATTTCGCGCTAAAATATGATAAATTCGCGCAAACATAACGCGTCGACTACCGCAACCCATTTGCGGTGAAGTCAATGGTTCATGGTATCAAACATGTTTTTTTTTAATGAATTCCATCAATTCTAATGAATCGAAAACATCGTCAAGAGGAATATGCGCGAATCGATAATTTTATTAAATGGAAACTTCATGCTCAAGTAACGCATTTAAATTGTGTCTAAACGTCTGTAGTAAACGGGCGTTTACAACAGATGTCACACGTATACTTTGTGCGTTAACCTTTTTGTGACAAACTATAAATAAAATACATTTGCGTTATAAAGTGGCTTTTACTTTATATCTAAAACATGTATATACAACCATATTAACATGTATTACAAAAAATTTAAGCTTCATATCATTGAATGTATTTTAATTATTCTTAATTTTCTATTTATATGTCTGAAATTATAAATCAAAGCTTTATCTCTGCACAGATTTTTTTTTATGAAATTAATAAAACATGAAATACTGCAAAATTGTATGTAAATGTGCCAGAGTGATATTTGATTGGTAATCAAATATGATTAGTATTACTTAATATAGTTTTAGTCATATATTTAGTTACTTCGCTTATTATATTTGATACAGCTATGATTTTCAATCTTTAGTATTCAGTTTCATACTTTCCTATATTGGACCTCATCGATTTTCCTGTACTGAACCTCATTCAGTTTTAGAGGGAAAGTACTGGTCATTCTATTGGTCACTTGTGAGTTGATTAGGTATTCTCTATTGATTCCTTTGTTACCATTTAATTTTCTAGTGACAGTATTGTTACTTACCTGTTTTATTTAGCCTTGGTGACATTTTGACAATATTTGATATTGGATATTATACATATACTTCATACTTTTGTTGGAATTCATTATTCATTTCTAGAGGTCAGTTATATTCTTTTTTCTAACAAGAACTAATATATTGATGTTTTAACATATTGAATAAAAGATGAATGAATGAGTTGAAAGAGAGTATGCAGAGGAAGTGATTAAAATTAATAACACACATATTAAAATATAAACCTTTTTATTAGTAAAACATAGTTGGTAAATGTCAAATAGTATAAATCATTTAAAACAGTATATAAACTTCATAATTTTCTATATATTTAAAAGTACATTTGTACAGAGATCTTATACTAAGATTAGTAAGATAGACATTTTATTGAGTACATTGTGTTTTGATTAATGTAAGAGTAATGTCCAGGTCAGTGGACTTATTATGAATGTTATATTTATTTTATTCAGGTTATGATATAGAATTGGTTATGATATAGAATTAAAGTACCACATATATGGTAAGGAATGTGTTACATGTCTTATCTATTTTGTAACTGTATAGTGTTATAGTGTTTATATGTAATTTTACTTGAAACCGCATAGTATTGCATTTATATGAATATGACGGAACACTAACATTGAGATTGGTAGTGCTTACTTATAATACTTCATAGCACATGATTATGAGACTTTATGTGTGCATTTCATTTAATATAAGATTGAGAAGTACCGGTAAAGGCATTGGAATATATTTGATTTATTCCCCTTTGTCTATAATTCTGTTTTATGTTGTTATGTGTTGTCTATGTAATGCGTATTTATTATTGTTATATATGTTGTAGGGTTTGATAATATTATATGCAGTCAGTGTGAATAAAATCACTAAAGCACCCTAGATAGTCCATTGTACTTATTGAGCCTTTTGTACCTGCTATAAAAAAATATATGCTTTATACATGAAGTTTACAATATTTACGATATATTTAACTTGTCCATTCATCAAGAAATAAAACTGACGACTTATGTATTGAGCCTTTTGGACCTGCTATATTTTGGCGCCCAACGTAGATGTGATTGACCCTTTTGGAGCCTCACACTTGATGAACCGGAAGTACCCCCCCCCCCCCCCCCCCCCCCGCTGTCATCAGAAGAAAACTTTCTGCACAAGTTTGACAATGAAATTATTTTAGGATATTTATAACAGTTGATATATGTCTTCTAGATAGATTAGAATACTTTTTAAAATTGGTGAGGAAAGACATATCATTACATGTTCTGTGTGTTTGTAAAACATTTCCACTAAAGATTTACGTTTAAACACTTGACAAATAACTTGGTTTTGAAATTGAAATTGAAATCCAAAATTTAAAATTGGATTGTTTTGAAACAGTTTACATAGATTGATTGAATATTATAAATTTTGAAATTGATTTATTATTGTTCTTTGGTGTTATAACATTAGATAAGTATTTATTTCACTGACGTCACACTTTAAGTGAAATTATTTACACTTTATAAGGTTCTTTGACCTGTAGTTTTATAGCAATTTTTATGCAGTGATACTGATGCACTGACATACACTTTGTTGTTAATTACAGTCAAACAACACACCTGGTGGTCATATATGTTTGTGTTGTTTGTTCGCATTGTATGTATTTTTGTTTATTTGTGAAATATTTATATGTAGTGTTTGGTTTTGTGTATATGTAGTGTTTGTGTATGTGGTACTTGTACTTGTATATATATATTTTTGTTTTTCCTTGACCTTTGTGTACTTTTGTTTAGGTACATGTGTACTTGATAGTGAATTTACTGTTTACATTTTGTAAAATTTGATAAAATTTCTTTGATTTGATTTGAATTAATTTGATAGAATTTTATTTGATTTAAATTAATTTGTCATTTTGATAAAATTTCTTTGATTTAAATTTATATTACAAATAAGGAGTTAGATAATTTAGGTCCTTAGTGTAAATCTGTGAACGTGTCTGTGAATGATGTGACATGTAGCGTATGAACCTTTTCTATCCAGCAATCCTTTAGTTTATTACTAACTACTTTATACTTGACCGCTTTACACTTAGTTGATATTTAGAGGTCAGATAGATTTTTTTTTACACTTTGGAACTTTTGATTTAGTGATTTGAGCTACTTCTAGTTAGTTTAGTACAGGGTTGATTGATTTACTGTTGTACTTTACTTTTGATTGGTGATATCAGAACTAAAGAGGAATGATAACAGATTAGCTGTCATCAAAAGCGGTGAGACAAAGACTATAACCATACCACCAAACAGCAACATACGAATATCAGGTTACGTCGACAAAGGATTACCTTACTATACATCAGCAGCCAAAGTACAACAAACTTCACATTTTGTCATGCCGTCAGATTTAGATATCACTCCATCTTTAGTAGATTATCATCATGGAATTCACAACCGTATAGATGTCAGCATCAGTAACGTAACTACAAGAACAGTCACCATTCCACCTAAATGCATCATAGCTGAAATACAACCTGTTACTATACAAGATCAGCCAGACAAAGATATAGATGACTTCACAACACCATTGTTAGATCAGGTTAAGATTGCTGAGCATAACCTGTCAACTGATGAACAACACAGAGGAAAAGATTTCATTACATCTTACAGTGACATCTTCTCGAAGAGCGACATTGATCTGTTGATGTTGGACACACTCACATGGTTAAACATCGAATAGACCTTGATGATTCAACACCATTTAAACAACGCTACAGAAGGACACCGCCATCTATGTATGAGGAGGTCAACGGTCACATCCATCAACTACTTAGAGCTGGTATCATTAGAAAGTCATTTAGTCCATACTCTTCTAACTTGGTATTAGTGCGCAAGAAGGACAACTCTCTGAGACTATGTGTGGATTTTCGCTCCCACAACATTTAGACGAAAAAAGATGCCTACGCTTTGCCTTGCATAGAAGATATATTATATTGTCTAGCAGGAAACCGATACTTTACAGTCATCGACATGAAATCTGGATATCATCAGATAGAGATACTAGAAGAACACAAGGAAAGGACAGCCTTTATAGTTGGTCCATTAGGATTATATGAGTATAACCGCATGCCATTCGGTCTCACCAACTCTCCAGCAACCTACCAACGGTTGATGCAAGACTGTCTCCATGATTTACACATGAACATCTGCTGTATATTTTTTGAACATGTCATATGAAAAACATCTAGAACGTTTGGATCAAGTCTTCGAAAGAATCAGAGAAGCTCATTTGAAGTTAACGCCAGGAAAGTGTGCATTCTTCCAATCACGAGTGAAGTACGTAGGCCATATAGTTTCTGAGAAAGGTGTCGAGACAGATCCAGCGAAGATAGATCGTATATGCACTTGGCCAACTCCAACAACCACGGAAGAAGTAAGGAGGTTTATTGGTTTCGCTGGATATTATCGAAGGTTTATCCACCATTATAGCCAGGTGACGAGACCACTTACTGATTTGATGCCAACACCAAAAGCAAAGAAAGGAAAAAAAGATTAAGAAGGAACAGAAAGCTTGGACTTGGGGAGAAAAGGAAGAAAAGGCATTCAAGGAATTGAAGGAGAGACTTAAATCAGCTCCAATACTTGGTTATGCAGATCATCAGAAGTCATTTGAGTTGCATACAGATGCCAGTCGTCTAGGATTAGGAGCAGTGTTATATCAGGAACATGATGGTCATCAACAGGTCATTGCTATGCTAGTCGAGGATTGACTAAAGCCGAGAGACATTATCCAGCTTACGAGATGGAATTTCTAGCCTTGAAGTGGACACGTTTCACGATTTTCTCTATGGACATCCTTTCCGTGTACTTACAGATAACAACCCGCTAACATATGTATTGACCACTGCAAAGTTAGATTCAACAGGACACAGATTGCTATCATCGTTAGCTGCATATGATTTTGACATCACATATCGTCCAGGAAGGAACAACGCAGATGCAGATGCATTATCAAGATTACCAAAACCAGATGAGGGAACAGTTATATCCAAGGATTCGATCAATGCTATCTGCGGAGTCATATCAACCCCTTATGTTGATACATTAGCAGTAACACCTGATGTTTTGGATACAACCAACATTGATATGCATATGCAGATAGAGGAAAACATTGATTGGTCACAGTTACAACAGTCAGATTCCCAACTGCAACCATGGATTAAATTTGAAAAGTCTGGTATGAAACCAAAGAAAGACATCTACCACCTAGTCCATTGAAAAGACACTTTGATCAGCTGACAGTTATATATGATGTTCTATACAGAGAGATAGCTAAAGATGACAGAAAGATTAGACAACTAGTTTTACCAGCAACACTTGTTCCTATGGTCCTGGAAGAACTTCATGATGAGAGGGGTCATCCTGGTCGTGATTGCACTAACTCTTTAGTGCGCGACAGATTTTACTGGCCCTCTATATCTAAAGACATAGACGAGTGAATAATGCACTGCGACCGGTGTTTAAAGAGAAAGAAGGAACCACATAGAGCTCCTATGAAGAACACATCACTTCGTCGCAACCTATGGAACTAGTATGCTTGGATTTTCTTACCTTGGAACCATCAAAAGGAGGAATACAGAAGATCCTGGTGTTAACAGACCATTTCACTCGCTATGCCCAGGCAGTGCCTACAAGGAACCAAACAGCTAGAACAACAGCAGAAGCATTGGTCAACAGCTTTGTGGTACATTATGGGATACTGAGTAGACTACACTCAGACCAAGGTGCTAATTTCGAGAGTAAGGTGATAAACGAGCTATGTCAAATCCTGGCAACACAGATATCCAGAACAACGCCCTATCGCCCTATGGGAAATGGAATGACCGAGCGATTCAACAGAGCTCTATTGGGAATGCTTGGTACATTACAGCCACATCAAAAGACCAACTGAAAGGCACATGTTGCACCACTAGTCCATGCATATAATTGCACTAGACATGAAGGAACTGAACAGTCTCCATACTTTTTGATGTTTGGCAGAGACCCAACCTACCTATTGACATTGCTTTTGGACTTACATCCGAGGCCACACAACAGCCCAAGTCCAAGTACGTTCAGGAACTGAGACAACGATTAGCCAAAGCCTATGAACTTGCTTCCAAGGCAGCTGACAGAGCCATGATAAAGCAGAAGGCAGGTTATGATTTGAAGACATGAGGTGCTATATTGACCGTGTACTTGTCAAGATTGTTGCCTATGGTGGCAAACACAAGATTGCCGACAAATGGGAGGATGATGTGTACACCATCAGAGATCAACCAAACTTACGGCTACCTGTATTTAGTGTGCAGAAGGAGAGTGGTGAGGGCCGGAAACGCACTTTACATAGAAACCTTCTACTGCCAGTTGGATATATAGCTGAAAGGAAACCAACTCCAGCACTAAGAGTTAAACTAGTTCCTAGAACCAGAACCAGACATAAGAAACCTCAGCAATCAGAAGAGTCATCCGTTTATGATAGTTCAGTTTTGGAGGGAAAGTACTGGTCATTCTATTGGTCACTTGTGAGTTGATTAGGTATTCTCTATTGATTCCTTTGTTACCATTTAATTTTCTAGTGACAGTATTGTTACTTACCTGTTTTATTTAGCCTTGGCGACATTTTGACTATATTTGATATTGGATATTATATATATATTTCATACTTGTGTTGGAATTCATTATTCATTTCTATAGGTCAGTTATATTCCATTTTCTAACATGAACTAATATATTGATGTTTTAACATATTGAATAAAAGATGAATGAATGACTTGAATGAGAGTATACAGAGGAAGTGATTTAAATTAATAACACACATATTAAAATATAAACCTTTATTAGTAAAACATATTTGGTAAATGTCAAATAGTATAAATCATTTAAAACAGTATACAAACTTCATTATTTTCTATATATTTAAAAGTACATTTGTACAGAGATCTTATACTAAGATTAGTAAGATAGACATTTTATTGAGTACATTGTGTTTTGATTAATGTAAGAGTAATGTCCAGGTCAGTGGACTTATGAATGTTATATTTATTTTATTCAGGATATGATATAGAATTGGTTATGATATACATTTCAAGTAGACGGTTCCACGCATGACCCATATACCACATATAATGTAAGGAATGTGTTACATGTTTTAGTTTGTGATTGTTTTGTCTATTTTGTAACTGTATAGTGTTATAGTGTTTATATGTAATTTTACTTGAAACTGCATAGTATTGCATTTATATGAATATGTCGGAACACTAACATTGAGATTGGTAGTACTTACTTATAATACGTTATAGCACATGATTATGAGACTTATGTGTCTATGTAATGTGTATTTATTATTGTTATATATGTTATAGGGTTTAATAATATTATATGCAGTCAGTGTGAATAAAATCACTAAAGAACCCTAGATAGTCCATTGTACTTATTGAGCCTTTTGTACCTGCTATATAAAAATATATGCTTTATACATGAAGTATACAATATTTACGATATAAAGAAATAAAACTGACGATTTATATATTTGAAAAAAAACATGGTTTATTGCATGATAATATTACACAGACAAATCTGACGTATTTAAAAGTTATTTAGTTCACTTACCTATCAAACTAATGACGCATAAAAGTACTCACTTAGTACAAAGGTTATGATTTTATCTATTATACCGAATGGTTTCCTTTAGAAAAACCTGCTAATACAGGTCGGTCAATTTAAAACGTATCAAATCGTACCAGACGCGTTGACGTAATATACGTATATGGTGACATACTAAATTAAATGTCGTACTATCCTTGAGTGAAATATCGTTGAATATGCATAGGAGCTGCGCTTACGAGGTACGCAGAACTATGTGTGGTCCAAGTTTAATTATCTCGCATCTGGAACATAACCGAAACCAGTGCACCTTATTTTGATTCATATTTGAACTTAAGATTTCCAAATGGTACTTTTCTAAATATAAGGTAATGCAAGATTAAGAAATTAAGCAAACTCAGCTCTTTACCGGAAACGGAAAAAACCATAAAACAGGCATGAAATAACAAAAAGGGAGAGACAAGTGTGGCAGGCTATCGCAAAAGGTAGGCGCGGTAGTGATTTATTTGCCCCTAATATCAATTCCATTATGTCAAAACGAAAAGTACTTCAAGTTAATGAATAAAAGTGTGGGAAAGTAAAATAGAACGATTGGTAGAACTTTGCTATTGAAACGCAATGGCCAGGCATGCCGCATATGATGTCTTTTTCCTGTGTTGCATTTGGTGATTTTTACTGTCTTCGTGCCATTGCCCCATATCTGGTTTTTTTTTCACAAGCCTACGTTAGCTAATGATAGAACCATCCTTTTCGCAAAACACCACCATTACCAATCAAGTTAACCTGTATAAATGCTTGAGCTATAGGATTCCATGAAATGAATAGGATACAGAGTTTTGATACGCAACATAGACTTAAACTCAGGATCAAATATTATATTATGTTATATCTCCAGATACGTTAACGTCAACGTATCTGATATGAGTTGATACGTTTTAAATTGACCAACCTCTATTATTCCTGGTTTTGATGGTTGTTCATAAAAAAACTCATCATTGATACATGCACCTGGATTAAAATTTTGTAAATCAGACTCGTGTTTCGTCTAAAAAAGACTAATCAGTGACGCTCGAATCAAAAAATTCAAAAAGGGAAAATAAGATATGAAGTTGAATAGCATCGAGGACCAAAGAATCCGAAAGGTTTTACCAAATAAAGCTATTAAAGGTAATCTACTCCTAGGATAGAAAGTCCTTAGTATTTCGAAAAATTCTTTTGTTAACAGTTAATTTATAAATATGACCATATTGATGATAATTCATGTCAACACAAAAGTGCTGACTACTGGGCTGGTAATATTATCAAAGTTAAAGTTCTAAGTGTCCCCTGTTCGATTAATTGCATATCCATGCAGTCGTCTTGTAGGTGTATTTGCCGTTTTGGTAACTATAAATTGCTAACTAAAGTAAAGTTGCTATTTTATTGTGGGAATTTTGGGATGTTTTTACATCTGCAATTGAACTCACGTAACACACTAATTGTTTTAGGTAAATCATATGTATAACGTGCAGAAGAATCAGAAAATAAACTGATATCCAACACATATATTAAAACATCATCAGACTGGATGGGTAAGTTAAGATTTCTTTATTCTTTATTATCTAAGTTATAATTTATTGAAAATAATCTCTATTATACTCCAATGGTGTTGATGGCATACATGAAAACATAATAACACATTACATAATACATCAAAAAAATGATAAAAAAAAATTTTAAAAAAAAGACGGTTGTTAATTTCTGTGTCATTTGGTCTCTTGTGGAGAGTTGTCTCATTGGTAATCATACCACATCTTCTTATTTTTATATGAATTCATATATGTACATATCATGCAGTTGTTGAATCCACTCTCCTCAGTGACCAGGACATTTATAAAAATGGAGGCGCATACCGCATAACTGACGGACATGAAAGACATAAAATCAATTTATCCAATTTATAATAATTCCAACATTTTATAATTGAAAACCTGGATTATTTATATGAAAATGCGAAAAATATAATGCAATTGAAACACTTATTTCCGGCAAGTAATGTTTATTTTCCTGAAAATTCCGTTGAAATTTTTGCATCATTTCTAGAGCAAAGTTTACATGAACAATCATAAATCTTATCTATAGTGTCTGCATTTTAATGGTAAAACTTCATAAATATTTACATTTATATAAGATGAAAATATATATATTATTGTAAGAATGTTCATGTATTTCAGCTAACAACAGAAACCATATATTTCATTTGACGGAAGAAGTTGACCGAAGAGAAATGTGGGGTATTTTCATAAATATATTTATTTTAATTCGTTAGTCTGAAGGTGTTTTAGATACGCGATCATTACACGCAAAAATTTCGAAAAAGTATAAAATAAAATACCGAACTCCAAGGTAAATTCAAAAAGGGGAAGTCCGTAAAAACTGACAAAATCGAACGTATGAATTTATCAACAAACGGAACGAATGTAAAACAACTGTCATATTCCTGACTTGGTACAGGCATTTTCCCAAGAAAATGGTGAGTTAAACCTGGTTTTATAGCTAGCTATAACTCAGATTTGTATCATAGTTGTTTATATTTCCGTTATATTGACAAAATTGGGTGAGCAAAAGATATATCTGTATTCAAATTAATTAAAAACTTCACTGACAGTAATAAATAGGATTTTTTAACGAACTACTTGTCAACATCTGCTAAGAAAATAATATAAAAAAGAGATGTGGTATTATTAGTTGCATAGTGTGCTAGTGACCTAATACGATATATATGGGGTCAGTAAATTTCATATGGGGTGAGAGCGAACAAATTGTGTAACGAATTAATCTTACCGACTATCTTAACATGTGGTATTTAGACTAGTAGCCTATCAAAGTGATCAAGTCTTCAATATCATAGAACCTGCTTCCATTGGTCTATACAAAAACAAATGTCAACAATAACAACTTGTTAGCCTTTATCATCAACTTCTTCGTCTGTTGAAACGTTTCAGATTTTTCCTCAACACCGTGTTGTTTTTTAAAAGGGACGTAACACCACTACTAACAGTGTATTGAAATAAACCACGCCTACTAACCCCATATGAAATATACACGATCTCCACGCGGTTGCTTTAAACCAATTATATTCTTAGAAATGTATAGGAGGTAAGATAATATGAATTATCTTTAGCTTTGAAATATATACCCGAACAACGTGAACTGCTTTTAAAAAGATAAAACAACACACGAGTTTAGGTAAGTTCAAAAGATAATGTACATATTTTTGAATGTCACAGTGAACCAAACCTTATGATATGCCAATAGATATAAAAATAAGAAGATGTGGTATGATTGCCAATGAGACAACTTTCCACCAGAGACAAATGGTATGACAACTTTAGGTCACCGTACGGCCTTCAACAATAAGCAAAACCCATACCGCATAGTAAGCTATAAAAAGTCTCGAAATGACAAATGTAAAACAATTCAAAAGAGAAGACGAACGGCCTGATTAATGCACAAAACAATAACCGGAAAACAAATTTGATATATAGCAACAAACGACAACATGGTCATTTTAGATCTTTTTCGACGACATCTTGACACAAGGAGATGCATCAGTTTTGTCAAATGATTAAGACAAGTTTCTATCATTTTTTGTATATTACTTAATTGTATTATTATTTGAAGAAAAACTATCTAGACAGGAAATTATTGAATACTATGACGAATGGCCGAAGCATGGATATGATGAGGTATGTATTCTTAGTTATTGGTGATATTGTAATTGATAAGAAAACAATAAAGTTCATGGAAACCATACATACACACAAACAAGACATACTAAGTAGGGAATCCTAGAAAATTAAAGAGTCATTAGCTGCTTAATTCATGACTATAGAATTGAATCAAAGGCTAATCAATTGATTTATAACAGTTTATTCCAAACTGATAAGATACTTATACATTGAATATTGAATCTTGAAATATGATTTTTTTTTATCAGAATTTAGCATTTATAAGTAAATTCTCTACATTCTAAAATTGAATCTTTAAATCGTGAATATCGGACTTAAAATCGTATATTTCGAAAAATGATGGTTAGTTCGAATTCTTTAAAATTTATCCTCAAAATCTAAGTGAATCTGCTCAAATTTGAAGTGAACAGTATTTCGTGTTCATTAAATTTGTATGAACGATAGAAACAGTAAATCACCAGTAAAGATTCACAAATAAAAGAATGAAAAATCTTGTGAAAAGAAACTGAAACCAAAAGTACAAAACTAGGGAGTTACTTTTCAAGTTTTAGTAAGTTAGAGTTCGGTCAAGAACAGCAGTGGTGTATGAATCACATTGAATCAAAATTAAGTGTACCTCTAAAAAAAATTCAAATTTTCAGTAAGTTTAATTGCTTATAACCTAGATATAACTATATTGCTGATAAGAACATTGTATTTCGTTCTAATTTGTATAGACAAATGTACGGGGACCAAAAATAGCTGCTGACACCGTCATATCTCTATACGATTCATCTGTAAGATCGAAAGTGAAAGTGTTGGATGTTGGGGCTGGTACTGGTTTAGTTGGAGAACATGTACGTATGTTTTTTTTATTCCTCAGGAAATGTTTTACCGTTGTCTTGTCCTCCAAGGCTGTTTACATTTACATTCTTTCCGTATGATCAATATACATAAAACATAGAACAGAATCCAAATACAAAAAGGCCTAAACAGAAAAGCAAAAAAGACTAAAACAAAACAGCATCATAGGACTAAACAGAAAAGCAATATGGACCTAAACAGAAAAGTTAAAAAGGTCTAAAAAGAAAAGAATAAAATGCCTAAACAGAAAAGCAAAAAAGACCGAAAAAGAAAAACAAAAAGGTCTAAACAGAAAAGCGAAAAAGTACTACACACAAATGCAAAATGGTCTAACCAGAAAAGTAAAAAAGGTCTAGATAGAAAGGTCTAAACACAAAAGCAAAAAAGGCCTAAACAAAAAAATAAAAAAGGCATAAACACAAAAGCAAAACCTAAACACAAAAGCAAAAAAGGTCAAAACAGAAAAGCAAAAATGGCTTAAACTGAAAAGCAAAAAATCCTAAACAGAAAAGCAAGATGGCCTTAACAGAAAGCAAAATAGGCATAAACAGAAAAGCCAAAAGGAAAAAAACTGAAAAGCCAAAACCGAAAAGCATTAAAGGACTAAACAGAAAGCGAAATACGTTTAACAGAAAAGCAAAAAGGCCAAAACTGAAAAGCAAAAAAGCCAAAACATAAAAGCAAGAAGGCCTAAACAGAAAAGCAAAAAGACCAAAACTTAAAAACCAAAACAGAAAAGCAAGAAGGCCTAAACAAAAATGAAAAAAACATATTCACCAAGGATTCTGGTGGTGACCTTATTCAATCCGCTGTAAATTGGGGAACGAATTACAGAAAATATTACAATGCAGAGGACGTTGTTTGATATCATTTTGAAAAGTCTGCCTCATATCTTGACCTACACCTAGAAATTGACAATGATGGTCTGTTAAAAACAAAACTTTACGACAAAAGAGATGATTTCAGCTTTCCATTTGTGAACTTTCCATCTGTATGTTGTAACAATCCAGCAGCGCCTGCACATGGAGTATATATCTCTCAGTTGATACGATATTCCAGGGCTTGTATTTCCTATCATGATTTTCTTGTTAGAAGGTTGCTGCTCACAAGGAAACTATTTAAACAAGAGTTCCAATTGATGAAGTTAAAATCATCCCTTCGTAAATTTTACAAACGCATTCACAGTTATGAAATATCTGTTTCACAGATGACGACGGATATGTTCCAATTGTCGTAACTATAATCCCGTCCTCTTTTCCTCGAATGTGACCTACCGAATTGGACTTATCACCGGGTTTGTACTTACATGAGCAACACGACGGATGCCATATACGGAACAGGATCTGCTTACCCTTTCGGAGCACCTGAGATCACCCCCAGTTTTTGGTGGGGGGGGGGTTGTGTTGCTCGGTTTTCTATGTTGTGTTTTGTGTACTGATGTGTGTCTTTTCGTCGTTTTTAGGGTTTTTTTTCCATGGTCTTGTCTGTTTGTTTTGTGTACTGTTGTTTGTCTTTTGGTCTTTTTTTGTCCATGGCGTTGTCAGTTTATTTTCGACTATTGAATTTGAATGTCCCTTTTGTATCTTTCGCCTCTCTTTTGCAGTCTTTTTATTTTTGAATTATAGTATTGGATTTAAATTAATGACAGTGCGGAACACAGAGAAATAAAGAAAACCCTTATACTTTGCAAACCTTAATTTACTTACCAAAAATAAATAAAATGGTGTCCTGAGTTTTTACCAGCATTTTAATATACAGGCTTAATGTTCAATGCAACTGTACTTTTTGCATGTCGAAAAAGAGATAAATAGAATGTAATGCGCCTCGGACGTATTGCAATTTATAACGTGTTGTTTTCACATTTAATGGATGAAATAAAAATTTATGGTCGATCTTTAAATGAGTTGCCTGTTAAAGTGTTCATTTAAAGTAGTATTAGCCCAGTAGTCAGCACTATTGTGTTGACATGAATTAACATTGATATAGTCATTTAATAAATTAGCTGTTTACAAAACTTTAAATTGAACTAAATACTAAGAATTTTCTCCTCCAGGAATAGATTGCCTTAGCTGTATTGGGCAAAACCTTCGTCATTGTGGGCCCTTAATTAGATAGACGAAACGCAAGTCAAAATCCTTGTATCTTTGATTAGTTATTTTATAAAACATAACTTAACACCTTTAGCCCAAAAAAGAAATGTTTTTAAAGAACATTGAAGCTCAATTATACTCAAAATATTTTATTTCGCAAAAATTTTGCAATGTTAGCTTTTTTACAGTTAAAACGAAATGGCTTTGTTGAAATGGACGCTCTCGATGCTTCAGAAGGGATGATGAATGAAGCCAGAAAAAAGAAAATATATCGAAACTGTTTTAAAGAGTTTTTTACTGCGGATTCACTGATTCACCTGAACGGTAACTTAATTACATTCTAAACAAATTACTAGTAATAATTTTATTTTAGAACAACAGTTTGTGAAGTTGGAGATAAGTTTTCATATCTAAAGGAAGCAAACTAATAGTTATTCATTACAACATTAAAAAAGGAAATAGGATTTTGGTAAAAGAGAGAAGAAAGATACTAATTATAAAAGGGACATTCAAACTCACAATTCGAAAACAAACAGACAAGACCTTGGGAAAAAAAAACCAAAACGACGAAAAGACACACATCAGAACACAAAACACAACATAGAAAGCTAAAGATTTGAGCAACACGAATCGCACCATATATTCACAGAGAAGTGTCAATCAGAAAGCGCTGAATGTCAATATTTACAATACTGTACGTTAAAATTTAAAAAAATTGTAACAACAAATTCTAAAAAGCAAAATTTTTAACCGTACAGTTTTCACACAAAAAACAAGGAAAATAATTGTATATTTTATGAATAAAAAGCAGTATTCATTGGTCATGTTGATAAATCAGAAAAACGAAATTAAGAAGTAAATGCCCATGTGAGACAAAGCAAAGCTTATCAATACGACATATGTGAAGACAATCAAAAGATAGGCGTAGTTGAATAGCAAAAACAAAAAAAAATGATGACAATTTTCCCCCCCATATGAACGATTTTGCATAATTTTGCCATTTTACTGAATTTTCCGTCGTTTTATGGATGTATACATCAAGAAAAATGTATATTTTAAACCACAACCGCAATGTTTGATTAAAGTGCATAGATTCAACATTTAGTTCTTTCAGATAAGAGTATTATACACTAAGTTTGAAGTTCGTTTTATTTTCGGGTTAATTTGGCCTTTTATTTACATGTATTTAAAAGAAACTGTTTTCATCATTAGGGAAGTGAACAAAATAGTTTGTTTCCATTGAAATTAGAGAACAAAATATATTCAACATTATGTTTTTTAAATGTTGTAACATTACCAATATATTATTTTAAAAACAATTTTTTTTTATTAAAGTCGAACAACTTGTTTGTCCAAGAGAAAAATAACATGCACCTAACAAAAGATGAATGGTTTGTGCCTAAGTGTTAATGACCTTAATCAATAATTAGACATTTGAACAAATGACGATACATACAATTAATGAACAATTATCAAAATGTATTAAATGCATTTACAGATTATTATGACTGCATTGTCGCTGCTGGAGTATTTCTTGCAGGTCATCTTGAACCGGATAGTGTGTCCCATTTTATTCGATTAACAAAGAAAGGTATGATAAACTTTTAATTGTCAAAATTGATAAATTTACCCACGCATGTATAGATGTTCACTGTTACATGTGACCTACCTAATCAGACTTATCACCGGCTTTGTACTTACATGAATAACACGACGGATACCATATGTAGAGCAGGATCTGCTTTTCCTTCTGGTGCGCCTGAGATCACGTTTTTTCCATGGGATTATCAGTTTGTTTTCAATTTATGAGTTTGAATCTTCCTTTGGATAAAAAAGAAAAAAGACCAACAGACAAAGAACAGTACACAAAACACGACATAGAAAACTAAAGACTGAGTTACACAAACAAATATGTAAATATTTAATCCCCTTATTTTATTATGCTAAACGGTTGACCTGACTTGCATTGCACTGCATAGACCAATGATGAGACCTCATTTCTAAATGAAGAAGGAAGAAGGGACTGTTGAGATAAAGCTAGAATTTATAATGTTTAATTCATAATTTCCGAAAATTTATATAAAAAAGGGTACTGGTTGTGATTTTCTCATCACTTTGTAATAGGTTACCTTACCACTGACACACAAAAACAGTATATATACACTGCACAGAAAGCCAAAACTGAACTCTACAAACCCAATAAAAAACAAGAGGTAACCTAAGATGTCCAGTAGAAAGGTCAGACTTTCCTGCTCACTAGTGACATCATACGTATTACGCTTCGTAAATTTGCAAATTACGATAAAAGTGGGTCTGGATGGGGTTTACCGAATAGAGAATAAAGGGCAGAAAGTGCAGAATAAGGGGCAACAAAATAAAGAATAGCGAAAAAAGCCCAAAAAAGAGAATAATAGGATGCTAAATTATAAAGAATAGTGAATAGGTGGCAAAATAAATAAAGATAAGAGACAAATAGTCTAAAATATTGAAAAATAAAGAAATGAATGACCCTCATCCAAACCTTCATAAAGGACAGGCAGAAGATACCAAAGTGATAGTCAAACTCATAATTCGAAAAGGAACTGACAATTCCGTGCCAAAAAGACGAGAAAAAAAAGACGTACAAGTCTACAAAACACAACATAGGAGGACTGAGCAAACGAAATTCACCAAAACCCGATGTCATCTAAGGTGCCAAGGGGGGAGAGTCATATCTACCTTGAGTGAAATTTAAATTAATACATAATGAATTCAGTTTGAAAATTGTAACTTTTTTTATTCTCTTTATCTAGGGCCAATATCATTCTGACATCTTTTTACTAACATACAACCTGCTATTACTTTTCACCAGCCTTATTACATTTGGTCTGTGTATTCAACATCTTTAGATAGTTTGTCATGAATAATTTTAAAGGTTATCACGTGTATATATCGTTTAAAATTGATTGACTTAAGTCTAACGTATACATCGTCCTGAACATGGATGAAATATTTGCCACTGGACGTAAAGCAACCAACAATCAATCAATCAATCAATCTAACGTATACATAAACCATGGTGAATAAACTTGCTACCAGAGAATAAGTAGTTGCGGCTCTACTGGTGACAAATTTTGTGTAGCTCTTGTTTAAAGCCTATGATACTATTTTCGACAGTATGTTATATTTGAATGATTTCCCGACCGTACGAGGGCTTTATAGCCAGTCCAGGTCGTTAAATACCCCCATCATCATCATCATCATTTCAATGATAAAATAGATTTCTTTTATCTAATCCAACGAAAATTAAAAGCCGGAGGAACACGAAAATTTTTTATTCATGGTAAATGAAAGAAGAAGAACATTGTTCAGGGTTCGACCTCTGCGGTCGTATCATGCTGCACCCTGCGGAACATTTTATTTATTTTTCTAAATGAAAACGCAAACGGTTTTGTGACAAAAGGTAGATATCACTAAGGACAAAAAATATCTTTAAATTGCTCTTGTTTGTATTATTCGGTGATTAGCCATAAACATGTTTTAACTCATTAAAAAATCAAACAGAATATATCCGTGGTTTTAAGTCACAAATATCTTAAGTCATGGTTTCATATGTCATGATGTTAAGAGGTAAATAATATTATAAACGATTGACGGGTAATTTTCCATCTAACCTTTAAACCATTTGTTTGCGTGAAATAATCTTGTAAACGTCTATAGTCTGGTTATTTTTACAAACATGTTTGCATTTTAAAGTTTATGTTGTCATCGAAGTTTTCATTACACCTTTTCATGACATAGTAAGTATACAATGATTGATTGTCCGTGTTTACTGTGTGACGGGATTGCTTCCCTTGAATAGTAGATAATTAGTCAGCCGAAAGCTGTTGAGCTAAAGAAATTTAGCTCAGTCGGTTAAAGCGCTGCCTTGGAACACAGAGGTTCCCGGAGGAAACCATGTGATTTAGTCATGAAAATCATGCTCTCCAGTTACAACTGTAATAATCCGTTTTCATTTTCCATTCAATTATGTGTACATGCAGTTCAAAATATAGAGTTTTCATTGCATCATCTCTATTATTTAATTTTGATCTTTTTAGATGGTCATGTCGTTATTGTAATGCGTGGACAATGTATAAGTGGACAAGGTTACGTTGAGTCTGTTCTTGAAAACATGGAAAAGTTGGAAAAGAAAGGACAGTGGAAAAAAGTTTCACAAAGCGTGAGCAACGAGTTCAGCTATATCAAAGATATCACTGGACTTGTGTTAATATTTCAAGTTCTATAAGCAATAATAATAAAAAAATAACACTTAAATAAGAACATATATCAATAATAGATGTCACTTTTGGTAAAAATAAACTAGATTAATGAATATTTTATATCGAAGCGGTATAATTAATTTGGACAGACGTATCTCACAAGTAAAACTGGTAAATGTTACCGATTTAAAGTAGTATATAGATATAAGAAGATGTGGTATGAGTGCCAATGAGACAACTCTCAATCCAAGTCAAAATTTTAAAAAGTTAACCATTATAGGTCAAAGTACGGTCTTCAACACGGAGCATTGGTTCACACCGAACAGTAAGGTATAAAGGGCCCAAAAAGTTACTATTGTAAAACCATTCAAACGGGAAAAACCAACGATCTAATCTATATAAATAAAAACGAGAAACGAGAAACACTTATGAACCACATCAACAAACGACAACTACTGAACATCAGATTCCTGACTTAGGACAGGTGCAAACAAATGCAGCGGGTTTAAACGTTTCAATGGTGCCAAACCTTCACCCTTTTTCTGAAACAATAGTGTAACATCACAACATAGAAAGACACACTATAAAATATCAACTGAAATAGCTTAACTCAATCAAAGGACATATTAACACCAATGAACATACAATGAACAAATAATTTGACCTATGATACAATGCAAATACAAAATAAATAAACTAAGGGAAGAATAATAAAAGTAACATGTTATATCGGTATGAAATGTTAAACAATTTAAGAAAAACAATATGCTCGAACAAAAATATCAGCCATTTGCAATTATTTTAAACACAGGTAAATGAAAATAATTTTGTTGTTAGGTATACGTGTACAGTTCCAATAGAGAAAGGAAATATTTTTACAAAATAAATAATATACATATATATATATCATGAGAAAACGGTAGGATTTATTCTTCCATAGGCGACAGAACTAACGTTTTCTCTATGTAAAACTTTCTCGACAAAACAGTTGTTTGATATTAGTACTTTATGATTCTGCTTCAGAAATTGAAGTCAAATGGTATAATGACCATCTTCGAACGAAGTTTGTTTATGGTATACATGCCCACCGTCAATTTACATCAAATTAAGATTTGTAAGCCTTTTCGAATAATTCTCAAGAAAATATTTCAATGTGTTTCAACATTCATATCATGAATATACACTCTACATTTATTCATAAATAAATTTTAAAAAAAATACACCCTTACATCCAATCAAATCGCTTCTTAGTTGACTTCCTGCACCTGCATGGGTAGACGAAAGGCCAACCAAAAGCGGGGAAAATGTAATACTACTTTTTTTTCCCTCAAGGGTCTTTTTCTGTATAAATAGTTCACAATCAATTGCCGCAAACTCGGGACAATTTATAGCTCGACATCTACGTCATTTGGTCTCTGATGGATAGCTTTCATATTGGCAATCTTACCACCTTATTTTATATTGTTATTTAGTTACATGTCTATTGTTGAAGACTACATATTATCCCTTAGAATGCCTTTTATTTGTTTTTTGTTTTTGTCATTGTGTTGCAAATCTTTGACGATGTTGCCTTCTAGAATGCCCTTTGTTTCGTTTTTTGTGTCGTTGTTTTGCTGAATCTTTGACAGTGTTACCCTTAGAATGCCTTTTACTTGGTTTTTGTGTCGTTCTATTGCTGAATCTTTGACGATGCATGTTACCCTCTAGAATACCTTTTATTTGTGTTATTTTTAAGTCATTGGGTTACTGCATTCTACTTTCTGTTTTGAATACCTTTCGGGATCCTCTAGTTTTTTCGAAATGATACATACCTTTAAAAATTTGTAGATATAATTTAATTGGCGGATGTTATAAACATGTTGCATAACAAAAAAATAGAATAAAGTGTTGTCGAATCCATGACAAATGATCTGAATCTTGATCAGAATGCTGTTGTTGTTAACGTCTATTTTCTACTTTGTAGGTAAATAATTTTTTAATGGAATCAGTATTTTTGGAACATGAACTAGACTTTTTCTGTTGTAACCAAGCTATTAAATCTTCAGTGTCTTATCTAAATGTTTTCTGTTTCAAATTGAATATTCCTTGCGTATCAAGATCAATTCTCTGAAAAACATATTCAGAGTGAAATAACGCTCACAAATGGTGAACCTATCTTCAGGAAAATTTGTGAAAAATAAAGTGAAACGGAATTTGATGTAATAGTGAATAATGAATATTTTCACGAGAAGAATATAATGTTGCACAAGGGCAATTTATATAATATTAATGATTGAATATGCAATGTGATATGTAGAGAAATATTAACTTGAGGAACCGATGACAGTAAAAGGTTAAGGATATTTCGGATCAATTTAATTGTAGAGAGTTCATTATTTTCATTTGATTTTTTAAAACAATGTTGGGGGTTTCTTGTGAATTTCATCTTAGCTTGATGACTGTGATATTTTTATTAAGTCGCAATTTATATGTCAATCAAGGTCTTAAATCATTCATGGAAATGGGCAAACATCAAAACCCAAAGTAAAATGCAATTAGATTTCTTCGAAACATCATTTTCTAAACGAAAATTCCGAATCCGAAGGACGACAAATCACGAATCATAGTTAGACAATCTTTAACATAATACCTACAAGTATTTTCAATCTAGGATGATATCAGCTAAAATGTGTTTGTTCATGGTTTTTTTCTGCTAGTGCTATATTCCTATTTTGGGTCTTCTGGTTATCGGGATTGCTTCACACAATTTATCTCTTATGTCGGAAAAGGTGGAACATGTTTTTAGCTATTAATTATTAAGTTAGTGGTCGTCTACCAGTGCAGTAGCATGGCCTTGTATTAAAAATTGAAAGAAGTAAAGTGTGAAGTACAGTTTATTTGTCGACTCGTTACTTGGTTCTTACCATAGTCCCCCAGCCAAGTACACGATATGGTGGAGGATTTAAAAAGATGATAAACTAGTTTACAGACAGTGTTACGTTTCATGAAATTCTGACAATTTGGTTTCTATACACCGCTTCGTGACCTTGTGGAGATTGACAATACTGAATTTTACTGCATAGTTATTGCAAAATGAGTTTTTCAAAATCAACTGATATATAGATGATACTAATTGGTGAGAACTGCCTCGCCACTTCAACTGTTTCAACAACAAAATTCCGTTTGGTGTATTAATAGGTGAGGACTGCCTCGCCACTCCTAGTATTGTATACAAAGTCAGCGAAATATAGAAGTCCGATTGGTGAGGACTGCCTCGCCACATATTATTGGGTCATAATTTGTATAAAACACGTGTGAATATATCTGTATTGGTGAGGGTTGTCTCGCCACACGGGCCTATCATGTGAAATGAATAGATTTCATGGTTCATTATATTGTTCACACTTTTACTTTCCACATTAAAATATCATATAAAGTAAAATTATCATAAATGTATCTTTTACGTAGTAAACTTCCAATTGTTTAATGACCAAGATAATGTATCCGTAATGTCAAATATGCAAATGTACGGAAGCGTATTAGGGACATAGTAAAAACAAAATAGATAAAGTACTTTTTTTTCAAAGTCGAAATTTTAACTTTTCAAATCTTGAAATTTTGACTTTTTTTTACACGAAATTTTGACTTTATCAAAGTTAAAATTTCAACTTTAAATTCAAAATGTCGACTCTTTAAATCTCGCAATCCCGACTGTTAAAATCTCGAAATAACCTTTACATTTATAAAATAGTACAAAGTAAGAACTTTGAATTTCATTAATTAAAAACATCTGTCATTTATCATTAAAACAACTGCCTCCTAACATCTTGGTCGCAGGTTGGTTGCTTGTGAGACTGAAATCTGTAACATTTATGAATATGATTTATTTTTATATCCATTTCCTATTTTATGTGATGTAACGTACCAACCGTTGATTTGTCAAGGATTGTTCATCTTGTCTTTTATGTAACTTTTAGTTTTAAATGATAATTCATTAATATATTTCTCTACTTTGACAGAAAATTCTACCGTGATCACATTTTACAACACAATGAAAACTTGTTATGTTTCACTTAGAAAAGATTAAGGATGTTGGCTACTCTGTTTCAAAATAACAAGCTTTTTAAAAAAGTGTTATAAATTGATAGCATATAAATAAAGGAACTAAAAAAGCAGAAAAAGATGAAGGGTCCGTGTGCTTGTTTTCGAGATATAAGCCATTGAAAATTTGGCGGGAAATAATTCTCTCTAGACTTTTCATATATTTAACATTGGCACCCTTTTGCTTAAAAAAAATATGAAAAAATAACAAGGATTTTATAGCATTTTCAAATATGGCTATTTAAACTATATGTAATAAAATTATGAAAAGAAAAGTAGGGGTTAGCGGGGAAATTTTTTTAATGGCAGTACATGGATAAAAACAGAGGATTCCGAATATCTGGCAAAAATTCAGAAACAAGAGGAGCGAACATCCTGAAACAAGTCATATTTCAAGAACATGATTCCATGACTCTTTATTAAAACTTCAATACATGGAGTTAAACATTTGTGTAAGTGACTTTTTATATACATGTATTTAATAAATTGTTCTTAAAAAGTGTTTACGGATAAATGGAACATTTTATTAACTACAAAAAAATAATGCAAATTGATGTTTACATGCAAGAAGAAGTAGGCGAAACTGCATCTGATTTAAAAGTACATGTATGATAAACTGTTGATTTTATCCTGCATTTGATAGTAATAAGATAAAACGCTATATTCAACTCTGTGTTTGGTTAAGCTCATATTCATATCACTGCGTAAGTTCCGTCGAATCGTTTGTAAATATTATAGGGTTAAAACACATGTTGTCTTAGTGTGTAAACTGGGGCAATTAACTTTGTAACCTGATTAAAAGTCCGAAGAACTAAATAGCTGTAAGTAGCAACAATCTGTTTCAGGAAATTAATTGGAAATTATGTCCTTGAATGTAGTAAATACTTAAATATATAAACCCAGTATACAGGCGCTGGTTGGATGTTGACGCACAGAAAAAGGAAAGTTAGGTTCAATTAGAAGAGATGCGAGAAATATAATTACTGATTTTTTTAAATATTCAGGGACAGAACATCAGCATTACAGCGAAAATGGAGTTA